TTTGGCGGATTCTTCAGTTTGCACCTAGAATTATATGCATTGGTAATAAGCTGATTAGGTTTTTTTTTTTCAGTTTGCACCCTAAATTATATACATTGGTAATAAGCTGATTTGGTGGATTTTTTCAGTTTACACCCTGATTTATATGCATTGGTAATAAGCTGAAAAAAATAAAAAAACAACTTTAAACTTTTACTTCGTAATCTGCCCGAAATATATAGCGTGAAAACATACGCTTCATAAGCACACTATCCCACATACCATGGTGAATTATAATTTTACATTTAAAAGGGTACTATCGCTTACTTTACATTCTCCAATCTGTCTGAAGTTATTACGGAAATCAAATAATCCTTAAAAACTCTGAGCGAATATTTGTAAAATTTAAACTGATATATCGCCACCCCTAGTAAAAACTTTAATTAAATTTTCTACCATTTTAATGGTTAATTTTTGACATATTTGGAATTTACGAAAATGGACTGACTGAAGATTAAACTATTATTAACTTAAGACATTTAAAATCTAATAAAAACATTTTTTGTCCATAATAAATATGTTGAAACGTGGGTAAAGGAAAGGATCTTATAACTGTTGATAAACAGAAAATAAATTATAGAATGAGAGAATGTCGGTATTGGTGAAATCAAAGAAGCTATGCAGGGATCATCGAACAAGAAAGATGGCTGTTACAAAAATAATTTGAGAAATCGAAGCAAAGGAAAAGGTTTCAAGAATTTGCTTCCCCTGGATGAACGTATTGCGAAACAAACACATTTTACCAGCGCTCAGATCTTTGAAAAAAGGCTGGAATTGATAGAGTCAAGAGGGACAAAATATGTAGAATACTTTGTAAATTCGGATCTGCAAAAAAAAAAAATCTTCGAGACAACTTTCTCTCACTGAAGCAAATATTTTAAAGAGTCAAAATTGGGCCAAGATAAACGTAAGAATTGATATTTCTAAAGTAATATTTAATGATTTTTGATGGACCTGATGGATGGGCCATAGGGTGGATTTTATCCAATTCAGATGTATCTTATTAGAACTTTTATATTATTACGTTCTTTCTTATTATTAATTTCCTATATATTTTCTTATTTGAACTTTTCTATTATTACGTTCTTTCCTATTATTAATTTCCTATATATTTTCTTATTTGAACTTTTCTATTATTACGTTCTTTCCTATTATTAATTTCCTATATATTTTCTTATTTGAACTTTTCTATTATTACGTTCTTTCCCATCACTACTTTCATATATATTTTCCTAGTATAATTTCTGGATTTAATTTCCTATTAGTAATTTCCTATTAGTAATTCCCTATTAGTAATTTCCTATAGATTTTCCTATTATACGCTTTTATTAGTACTTTCCTATTGCTACTTTCTAAGATATTTTCCCACTTATAACTTTCCTATATTACTTTCTTTTCTATTATAACTTTCATATTATTACGTCCTTTCCTATTATAACTTTTCTACTCTTCTTATATATTATTACTTACCTGTATATTTTCCTATTACAATTTTCTTAATATTATTTCCTATTATTACGTTTTTTTCTATTATAGATTTCTTATCATTATATTCCAATATATTTTCCTTTTATAAATTTTCTATTATTATATTCCTACACTATTTACATTATTTGGACTATTGTCCTCATCTTTATCGCCATATTTATTACAACGTTTCGGCCATTGTACGCTCCGGCCTTCTTCAGGTGGTTGGAATGTCGAACTGAACCCTTTATTTCGCTCATTGGCTTAACAGGGCATTGAACGCACACTCTTTGCGTCCTGTCACTGGATTGACCAACGACTTTATCCACTGTGCCATGTGTCCTTGAGCATTCCAACCACCTGAAGGAGGCCAGAGCGTACAACGGCCGAAACGTTGTAATAAACATGGAGACAAATATGAAGACAATAGTCTGAATAATCTAAATAGTGTACATAATACCTCATCTCAGAAATATAGACAGATATTACATTTCTATTATCACTTTGCTATTATTAATTCCCCATATATTTTCCTATTATAAATTTTCTAGTAATACTTTACTATAAATTTTCCTATTATAACTTTCCTATTACTATGTTGTTCCTATTATAACTTTCCTATTAGGACTTTCCTATTATTACATTCTTAGGCTTACGCGTAAGAAGTTACTCTTTTTCCAAGACACATTTTCTCGGATATAGATTTACATTTATGAATGCATTCCTTTTAATATTCTTTTGAATTGCCAAAGACTTTAGCCACGAGATCTCCTGCATCTCTTGTGGACGGTCTCCTTGAGAATGCTGCCATAATCCTTGCCTTCAGTTTATCGTTGGTGTTACAAGGAGTTTTATTAGTCTCTCACAAACTGCTCCACACACATAATAATCAAGAGGAATTTTGGTGGTAGGTGGCCATTTGTAAGGGCCGATGTGTTTGCAGAAATTATCTGACAGCCATTACTCGGTTCTCCTGCTTGTGCGGCATGGTACAGTATCCTGTGGTCAGATATAGGTTCTTCCACCAGCCAAACTATTCACCCAGGATAGCACTATTTCTTCAAGGCACTTGATATAGGCCTCCGTGTTGAGATAAAAGAGGCCCTCTAGGAAGATGATTGGAGGCATAATATCGCCATCATTAGTGATCTCTCCAAACATTATTATGTTGGCTGGATATATCCAACTCTTTCTGAATCCTCTGCTTTGTCCCAAGAGTGACACTCAATCATTCTGAAATGTTTGTTTTGGAGCTTTGAGCTCGAATGCCAAGCAGTACAGTATGCCATTCCCAAATTTCTGGTGGGTTGAATTGCATCATGGTGCTCTTTTTCTTGCAGGGGATGCCCAACTGAAGCTACTAGTGAGTGCAATCAATAAACAAAAAACTTCTGCCCGCATGGGCGAAATTAACAATATATAATGGCAACAATTTGTCCATTACACCGAGCATTTATAATGAAAGGAAGGTTGCGTTCAAGTATGAAAAATACTCAGTGTCTACATATCGCTGTTCCTCTGATTCAGGTTGGAAAATAATTACACCAAATTTCTTCAAATATATAGCGATAATTTACTGTCCTGAATTTTATTGCCATTTGTATGTCAGAAAGAATAATGAGTCTTTCATGATACTCCACTTGAGATATTTCTATGGTTTTTTGAAGACATTGTTTGACAATCCTGATAGTGATTATACATTCTCACGTACTGCTGATCCAAACTAAATATAACGGTATTGTGAGGTGTTTAATGCTAATGTTACAAAATATGTCTGAAAACTCTTACAGTCAAGAAATATTAATATATACATGCACACACACACACACACACATTTATGTGTAGTAATATATATATATATATATATATATATATATATATATATATATATATATATATATATATATATATATATTTGTGAGTATTATATATATATATATATATATATATATATATATATATATATGTATATATATGATGGACTCTCCTGTCGTATTCGTCGTATGATGATCAAGTAGCTCAGTTTTTATGAACCGACAGCCAGACACCAGCACATATGATTTGATTATAGTGGTGAAAGCTTTGTGCAGAACCAACCGCACTTTTTGAAGGGCCGAATACAGAGACCTGGTGTACTACGTGTCACAAGGACCCCAAACGACCCTCCGCAAGTTTTGAATTCAGAATTGTCCGCCTAGACCATTTGCCATCCAAGGCTATAGAACCCAGTTCGTCCTACTACTTACCCATAGCTGGAGGGAGAAAAAGAGGATTAATACCTTTCCCAAGGTTATTAGCACGTAAGTTTCGACTGGAATTCGAAATCGTCTCTTCGATTTCTCCAGATAACATTTGAATTAAGAAACGTCTAGAGACAAATGAGTAAATTTTCCATACAATTAAAACTCAAGAAATGTAGAAAAATGATTAGTTTAAATATTAAAACACATCTTGTCTCTATTTCATGGGAAAAATGACTTATTAAAATAGAGAAAATTGATATTTCTGTTTTTATAAAGCCTCTATGTGTCTTAGTAGATTTTGCAATATATCTTGATTGATTAATGTCTTATGTAATTTATTTCAACCACATTTTACATTCAAAATAAACCTATTTGATATAATCAGAAGAAAAGAAACAAATCAAATGTAAACGAATAATTTTTTTTCATCTAATAAATAATATATTGTATTTATATATACAACGTTAAAACTAAAATTCACTAATATTCATTACATAAATATATCCTGAAGAATTATACCTATATTGGTTGGTAATAGTATTTTTTTTTACTTTGAAAACTTTGACTTGCAACAGAATTTCTGACATCTTCAATACACGATGATTTATATAAAACCAATATTACAAGTTGTATCTTTGAGCGCTTCACTTTTGAAGTATTATTTCTGAACTATTGAACTATTATTGAGAGGGTGAGCCAATAAACTAAGGCGAACTTTGTTCTTTCTATTTATGTCTATATGTCTGTCTAGATTAAAATTAAACTTCATATAATTTTGATAGCAAAGGTAAACCATACTGAGAAGGACTTTGATCGTCCTGTTTGTCCGTCATCTTGACTCTTTGAGCAATATTTTTTAGAGAAATTGTTTGAAAAGAATTCTTTATCTGTTCATTTCTTCTTCTGATCTTTTGTCCATTTTGCTTTACCTAATATTTGTTATACATTTTACTTTTTACCCCCGTTCAAATTCCCGATATCTTGAGTGGATTTGCGGGTGGTTGAATGGATAGCTCGTCGGAAGGAGAAATTAGATAGCTGAGTTCGAATTCCAGTCGGGTTCGTTACATTCATTTTGCTCAAAAATTCTCTTGAGAAATGTGGGAATTCCTAATCCCCCTACAGCTATGTGTTAAATAGTAGAACTTTCATCTCGAAAAATCCTTGTTATTCACACATGTTACTACCATATCCACACCCGAGAAAAGAATTATTCATACAATCCAAAATATATTGCTTACGTCTACATGACGTTGCAACACCGGTTCTCGTACGATTGCCGAGGTTAAGCAACGTCGAGCCTGGTCAGTACCTAGATAGGTGACCGCTTAGGAATATCGGGTTCTGTAAGTGTAGATATGTGGTTTTGTAATGCTTAATGGTTCGGAATTAATTGAAGAACCGAGTTTCAATCCCAGTTGGGTTTGTTATATTTACTTAGGCGCAAACACCCTTTGGAAAAATATGATTCCACCTCTCCCCCTCCCAGAGTTAATTAGTAAGACTTGTATCACAAAAAACATTATTATCTCCAAAAATCATGCGCACAAATTGGATAACCAGTAGCGGTTGATATCCAGATAAGCAAAACAACCAACCAAAATATATTTCAGTTTAAATAAATCACAAATGGATGATAAACCATAAAGATACAAATATATTTAACGACCCATTCCATTTAATATCTTAAAAATAAATTCCTATTATCAATAACATAGAAAGTATCAAATTAAGAATATTATTGATTTGGGAAATAAGTCTCATAATGCTAATGAAGCAATAATCCTTGCCAAAAAAATCAGTTTTACATATTATGATCCTCGCCATTCATATATTATTATAATCTCTTAAGAGTAGAGAAATATCCGAAAAAATAATTTAAAAAATCTGTAGAATAGAATAAAGTGCAATTATTAAATTTAGCGACGTGTATCAGAAGAGTATGATATTACTATTTTCGAAGGATGACTGAGAAATAACCTTCAAAAGATGAAGCGTAAACTTTAACAACATATTTCCGAAATATAAGATATTCATAGTACGAGTGGATATTTCATATGAAAGATATGAACATTTAAGACAGTGGATGTCCGAAACCGAATTTACAAAAAAATTATTAAGCATATCTAATGAGAACTAATAACATTGGAAATTCTTCTTTAGATTTTGTCAAAGAATCCATAACTATATAACAGGTAATTTTTCGAAGGACTTCAAAAATCTGATCTATTTTTAGCAACACATTAGTTTGATTTTTTTTTATTCTCTTCATGGTTATAATATTGCTTTTACGGTGATGTCCGAATTTTAATGTACAAATTCTTAGATAAATCCTAAATATATGGTGTTGGGAAAAGATTCCTTTGGTCATTGTTTGAATAAAAAAAAAATGAGAGAAGAAATTGTTGCGTGTTCAAATAAGATGATATTTATTTAAACGTAAGATACACAAATTGTAACTGTATTTATTCAAGTATTTATCATAAATGCAAGTTAGAAATTTCTTCTCATTGACTGTGAGCAAAGGAACATAAATATTCTTTCAGTGAGAGAGAGAAAGCGGAGTTGGGAAACAAGATCAAAGTAAGTTCGGTGTTGCTTTGATGAGAAAGACAAGATGCCGAGGTTGACTCGTGTCACTTTAATGCTGTTAATCCTTCTGCCGAGCTGAATGAATGTTTGGTTTTTACGTTCTTTTATAGGCTCTACTGGTCTCTAGTTTATTTACTGGCGGGAGCTGATTTTATTGGCTATTTATGTTTATTAAATTGAAAATTTGAAGTATGTTTGAAACCCGGAACGCTGCGCGGAGACCCTGCGCAGTGTATTTAATTTTGACATTTCCTCCCTTCAGTTGATATTGTTCACTTCCGTCTACTCTACGAACATTCTGATATATACTAATACATGTCATGATAACAAAAGTAAAACATCTGGCGGAACGGGACTTTGTGGGAATCTCATTAAAGACATCACGAGAATATCGCTAGGATCATTATTTTGCCAACATGGCCGACAAAGAGACGCTTATGTCCAATTATGCAAAGTCCGTTGTACTCAGCACGGCATAGAATCTGATAAATGCATACTAGTCACGTGTCTGTCAGTCAGTTATGGGCCATGCGTAATACACGCTTAAGCAATCATGTATCTTTCGATACATGACTGACGAAGCCGACGTTTTCCGCAATAAGTTGCCAATTCTTTCTGCAGTAGACGAGTTGTCATCCAAGGCTACAGAACCGATCTGTCTTGCTATTTACCCATAGCTGGGGGGAGATGAAGAGGAGCCGTACCTTTCCCGAGGGTATTAGTACGTAAGTGAATGTAATGGAATCGACTGGAATTCGAAATCTGCTTTCCGATTCCTCAAACCAAGACAGGCTTCGATATAATGATCTCCCTGAATATGATTCATATTGCAGTATTTTTTTTTTAATTTCAAATATTTAATGATGCAGTAGCGTCATATACACGGGTAATATATAGTCGTACAACGCTCAAGGAACTTATTCAGTCGTTATCTTAAGATCTGAAATTCATTAGAAAATTCATATAACATAACCGCGAACTTTTCCTGGCCAGTAATAGTTTATCATTATTCTGGCTGATCGTAAATGTTTTCATTATATGGCTATTATGACCTGATACGTCTAAGATAATTTTGTAGTTCTTACATATTCCTGCTATTTCACTAAATAAAGTACGTAGATTTCTTCTCTGCAAAGATTCCGAGTCCTTTCCCACCACACGTATCCCATTGTTTTTCAAACAGATCCGGCAGATTTCAAAATCCTTTCTCATATAATTCAATTTCTGTACTTCTCAATCCGACCCGCTATTCATTCTCCACGTGTAGCTAAATGAACGCGAGCTCGTTATAGTTTTTTTTTTTTTTTTTTTAAAAAAAAAGAAAATCAGCGATTAACCATGATGAAGGTGCAGTTACAAATAACTTCCGGGCCGGTTATCCAACCCTGCTCAGGCGTTTTCCGATACAGGGTGTTCCCAAGTATCTACATATGACTCGTAATTGCCTTGGTTGCCTCATCTTTCAAAGATAAGCAAACCTATTTACCTGGCAGTGAGGTTTAATTAGTACGTCAGTACCTAGAAGACATGCCCAATTTAAGAAGGTAAGCAAATCGGTATTATTGAAATAGATATGTACTGTAACTTATCCTACTTCGCTTAAACAAGCACATATATCAATACTTTCAATCAATAAAGATCGGAAACGTGAGACCCATTCCTGGTGTAATAACAGACGATTAATTATTATTATTATTATTATTATTATTATTATTATTATTTCTGTATGTTACGTTTCCTGCGTTGTATCCTATAGAGCCGGGTCCAAAACTGTGGTCCTTAGACCTTATAGGAGAATTGTCATTTAATTGATAACACTTTTCTTGGTATATGGATGTTTCTATTAGGGCCATCTTCTGGGAAGCTTGTATGTTGATGTTACCTGGGACACGGTTAGTAAAATTGTCCATTCATTTTTTTCACGAGGCCCAGAACTTTACTATTGGTACAGTCGCAGTCTTTATTCCCCACATCCTGTTAATCTCGAGCTCAAGGTTCTTACATATGGACAATTCCTTGATAATTTTCCTGTACGTGTTTCTCTCAGTTGGTAATGCTATGTCAATAAGCATACACTTATTTCTTGTCTTTATGATAATATCATGACTGTTGGCTTTTATTTCCCTGACAGTTTGATTTGACATGTCTTAGATGATAGTTACGTCGTTATTTTAGTTAATTGTGTCTGGTTGATGCTCATACCATCTCTCAGTAGTTTCGATTTTGTGTTCCTTGCATATCTTCCAGTGCGCATATGTCAATACCTTGTTATGTCTATGGGTATATTCATTTTTCGCTTGTTCCGTACATCCTGAGATAATATGGTCAACAGTTTCATTATACTTTCTGCAGAACCTTCATTTCGGGTTAGTTCTAATATTGATTATGTAAGAGTCATAGGATCTGGTTGCGAGTCTTTGGTCCTGAATTGCAATAATTAAGACTTCTGTATCAGCTTTTAACCCGGTGCTCCTCAGTCACTGATTATTATTATTATTATTATTATTATTATTGATTTTATTTCCTTTGATTTCTGGCGTGTATACATTTCTTTCCGGGTCCCACCCAGAGACCTAAGGTTAGAAATGGCATCATAACACTTTCCACTGAGAAAAAAAAATTCCATAGATAAAGCCCTTCGTAAAGTGTGGGCTGTACTTGTGAGAACAATTTTTTTGTATTTCTTTGAGGTATGGAGTTCCACGAATCCCTTCAATTAGTCTACTGGAATCGTTTCCAACCAATTCTAGGGCTCCAACAACAACAGGGTTTGTTGATGTTCCCATGTCCCATGTGTTGTCATTATTACTATTATTATTATTATTATTATTATTATTATTATCATTATTATTATTATTATTATTATTTCTGCTATATACTCATTAAATTCCTGGTTGCAACCAGAAATATAAGGCCAGAAATATCTTCATGACACTTTCGTACGCTGCACTTTTGGGAAAAATCTCTTGTATCTATTTAAGGCATGGACTCCAACTGATCACTTCAATGAATCTATCAGAACCTTTGCCAATGAAAGAGACGCTCCCACTACTATTGGAATTATTGATGTTTACATGCGACACGTTTTTATGTTCTCCGATTCAAGATCCTTGTATTTTGATAGTTCTTGAAAATCTCCATGCTACATTAGAATTACCATGTGAATAAGGTGGGGTGTTTGATCACTATGTGAGGGTGCCCAACATTGATTATTCTGCATGCATTGTAAAGTTCCATAAAATTGTTAAAGGACCTCTACATGTAACTGGCTCTAGGTGGCGTTCATACCAATTTCTTACACTTCCCTTCCTATAAAAGTTGTCGATATTCCAGTGCCTATATTGACCCGCATGATACTAGATGGTCCATTGTATCTGGACATTTATCACAGAATCTACATATGAGTATCAAGGAAAATATTCAGTATGCTTTCTTGATAAGTTCTAGCATTCGTCCCGTGTAACAAGAATAAAACATTCTGTCTATGTTTGTAAACCTGCACAACGTAATCATTGATGTGTAAGGTGTTTTTCTACAATGACTTGTCTGACACGGGCAGAGTATTGACTATGAAGTGGTCAAACTTGCCATCATGTTTTACTACTACTACTACTATTAATATTATTATTACTACTAATAATAATAATACAGCAACAACAACAACAGCAACAAAAACAACAACAACAACAACAACAATAATAATAATAATAAGTAAATACATTTAAATTTAATTGTCAGATTATTATCAGTGGAGATT